GTGTGATGTTCATTTATCTGTGTGTGCTGATTTTGAGGAAGTCTATTTAAAAGAGAAATGAAATCACCTATAAGAAGCAAATGACTACCGTTGTCTTAAATAAACCAACAATTTTCCAATAATTTTTTCTTTCCTCTTAAATATAATACTTATCAACATCTAGAATTTGAAGGTCTTTTTTTTTTTTTTTTTGGTGGTGGTTGTTTTGCTTTCATTTTATTTTGCAATAATTACAATTGCTTATTTTTTTGGTGAAACTTATTTTTTTTTTAAATATTTTCTTATTACACAGCTATTCTGTTGTTCTCATCTCTTTCTCATGAGGCAAATCATTTTTCTAAAAACTAGGTGTGTACCTAGCCATTCTGCAAGCTTCCTTCCTTGGACAGAATCAAATTTTTATTTTTCCAAAAGTTCATCTTAACTGAGCTGAAAGCCAAGCTGCTAGTCTGGCTTTACTGTCTCTTAGAACTGCTTGAGAAAAGGAATCAGGTGAAGCCTCACCAGCTTTAATTCATCTATTTACAGAAAAAAAAAAAAAAAAAGCCATCTTGGCTAAAGTCAAGTGGTGGAAACTCCATGTTCTGAGGATTATGGCATCTTAAATGCAAACATAAGACATGAAGATGGTTTCGAGTCACCAAAATATAACTACAACCCTTTCTCCCAACCATGCCCCAAATCAAAAGGGGTTCAGGCATTTCCTGCTCAGGTACCGCTGAAATGTGAAGCCGTGCACCTGATGGTGAGTATATTTTTAAATGACACACTCTCCGGGACTAATTCTACACAAAGCTTTCATTACTTTGTCCCTACTTGCCTTCTGAACATTGTGTGAAACTATGAGGGGCTGCAGTCTCTGCAGCTGGGCTCCTTGCTCGGGAACCCCCCAGGCTGCCAGTAGAGTCGATTTTCCTCTGGGTAGCGAGGAAAATCTCAATGCAGAGTGGTTACCCAGGCACAGATCTGTTCTGACTGGATAACAAGAGGGAATGTGATGTGTACTTGGCTGTTTAGATTAGAATGCATCACAAGCTCCAGAGCAAGCACACATCAGTAGTAAAGGCTGTTTAAACCTTCGGGGACAACCCTATGTTTAGATTACATTAATTCATAAATATTATACTAAATACCACTTAAATTGGACTTAAATGATTTCAAAGATAATGCATTATAATATGGCTATCCAGAGAGCACTAGTCTTTATGTCTCCCAGTTACTCATCTTTGCTGCCTCCTATGCTGCTAGACAAGACCAAAGTTATGAATGGATTGCTGGCTTGCTCGTGTGTGATCCACTAACTGTGTGTATGTGTGTTATCTGACATGGGCATGTATGTGTGTACCTGTATCTGCAGTCACTGCCTCTGTTTGTTCTCTAGAAAATAAAAATAAGAAAAGAGAAATAAATAAGAAGTGAGGAAAGGGAAGAATCAGACGAGTGGGTGACCTGTTCTCTTCTTCAAGGAAGAAAAAGTCTACAAGAACAGGCAAAACTGGCCCTCAGTTCACTTCTTCTGCTACCCCGAGACTTTGCCTCTTTCTTCTTTAATCAATACTACAGTGTGTTTCTCTTTGGAGCCTGGAAAAGCAATCTTTCCCAAAGTGCTTATCATGGAGGAGACAAGAAGGCTCAGAGTTAGCCAGGAGAGTTTGCATGAACTGGGTGTTCTTCTTTGGGTATTTCTTTGTATTTTAATTTTCAACCCATTTTCTTCCTTTCTCTCCCTGTCTAGCACCCAGAGTCACCCCAGAATTGCTTTCTGGTCTCCAGGGAGTGAATATACCATTACAGTAATTACCCTAGTCCACAGCTGCTATTTGCTGCCTCCCCAGCCCAACAGCCTTTCTCTGATATGACTGGGTTTGCTCCACAACACCCACCCACTCCCTCCTCCACAGACTCCCAATTTGACTGGAGTAATTGCCTTTTAAGGTTCACTCTACGCATGGCAGGTATTCCATTAACCCTTAGAACTACTTCCTATTTTAGTTACCTGAAATGGCAGATGGCCAACAAATGGAAACCCACCTGGAATCCCGTGCATTTCATTTAATTTTCACTTATTTTCTTTTCCTTCTCTCTCTCTTTAAATCAATAACATACACATTCCATTCATACTGGAAGCCAATTTTATCCCAGTATAATTTATTTCAATTGTATCCCAATATGGTTCAGTAGAAGTTAGAAATTCAAGAAAGGGAGAACAAGAGACACAAATATGCCCTGAAATCAGGCTTAACAAAGGCACGTTTTTGTCCCTAGCCCCATGTTGTCAATTTAGAAATAGGAAAAATCTAGAAGCCAAAAGCAACCCTCACTCCTTAAGCCTCATCATGCCTTTTGACTTAACAGTAATTGATCACCAGTGGCAAGCGAGTAATTTTTTTAAGGTGGCCAGAGGCTTATTTGATCAGGATTAGCTAATAAATCAAGCAGCATCACTGAAGGAGGAGTTCAAACTCTTCTTGGACTGAACAGACCAGACCTCGGGAACTGTCTCATTTATTTAGCTCTCTGGGAGCTTACAGGCACTGTTAGGGACACTGTGGCCCAACCTTGCTCTATAAAAATCAGAGGGATGGAGGGGCAGGAAGTTTCACAAGAGAGATATATGCTTAGGCTCTGAAGGCTGAGCTGCGACAATGAGGCGGGCACCCAGCATTCAGAGCCAACAGGCCTACCTGCCACTGACTGAACCAGTTTAGGGGAAGAATTATTTAGAAAATGAAGTTTTGTTTTCCCACGAATTCTAGTCAGGTATATGTCTGTGTATGTGTGTGTGTATGCCCGTATTATAACATTATTTACTTTTCTGATGCAAATGATGGTCTTTTTCTCTGCTATAATATGAGAGAGTCAAAATTACACCAGAAGCAAAGTGATGATATCAGCAAGGGATTGTGAAAAGAAACCAAGGAATATTGTTAAAGTTTATCTTTATTTGAAATAGAGAAACAAATAAGTGCTCTCTCTAATCCAGCTCTCATAAAAAATCCAGTCTTAACAACTGTCTTTTGCTTCTAGTGGGTTCATATATATTTTTTAACTTTGAAATTTTAAATCACTGTAAGAACTCATCCCTAAGATGGGCAAAAGACTTCCATGTCCAGGCTTTTTAATTTTTATTATTACTATTTATAAACTGGTGACATTTTAAAATGACAAAGATTTGATACAAATCTTGATTAGCGTCTAGAAAGCTTGACTAGAAAGGGAAAACCTATAAAGATATGGTTGACTTGAGAGGGAGGGGAAAAAGAAACAAATATTATTTTGAAGAATATGTTGCCCTCTCTAATATATTTTCTGAACAGACAGACATTTTGGATAAAGGTTGGTTTCTTTCCCCATTGCAACCCCTACCCTCACCCTACCCCAACAAACCTAGTACATTTCCATTCTATTGTGTTTTTGTGCTACTCAACATGCCATTAACTTTAAGATTTACTCCTCAGCAGGCAAGCTGGAAGACGCTAAAGCCAATAAAAACTGCTCTCTGGGACTCCAACTATGAAGAGTTTGGAGCTCTGTTTAGTATTCGGATGAAGGGAGGGCCAGAGAAGGAGGGAGGTTGTGATAGTGAAAACCGCTGCTGCTTAGAGAGCCAGCCAGCTCCGCGCTCTGAACCTAATGTGCTGAAGGATCAGTTCTGTTCATAGCCTATTTGTGGCCAAGGATGAGGCTGCTCAGTGTGTGTGTGTGTGTGTGTGTGAGAGAGAGGGAGTGTGTGTGTGTGTGAGTGTATTTCATCTTTAAAACCACCAGCTCGAGCACAGCATCTTCGGCGGCTCTCCACGCTACTGTTTATTAAAAAGCGGAACGTCCATACACATCCCCTACAACTTCCTTGGCCGTGTGCTCCTTCCCTGCCTGGCAATCAATCTCTCTCAGAAAGCATTTAACTTGCCCACACAGCTCCGGCACCGATTAATCCCCACTGCACATCCTATACATTACTGTTATGAGCAGAGCACTGGGCTAATTTCGTCACCCACCAACCACCCACACACGTTCTACAACCAAACACGTTTGGTGCTCTGCCTTAAAGATAATAAAACAAGGAGAAAACAGGCACGCTGCAGACAATTCCCATGATCACTTTCCTAAAAAGTTGCTGGGTTTTAATTCTTTGATTATTCTGTTTTTCCCCTCCCTCAAGCACTCACTATCAATGATTGCTTTAAGGGAGAGAAATAATGTACTACAAAGCTCTCTGCATGGTGAGTTTGGGATAGATTAGGGTATCTCCTTCAAAATGCATATATCACACACAGATTCCTTCCCAAAGCCCCGGTTTCCCGGGAAGTGGACCAACCAGTCCTCCCTGACCCCCACTCCACCCAGGGGATGACTGTTTCCTTGATCATTCTTGCTTTAGGTATTGTCACTCCTTCCTTCAAACAGTCCCCCCTTACCCTCCCCCTCAATCAGATGATTGAGGTGCACTGCTCGATAGGGAGAGTTTACTGTTAAATTGATAGCGAAATAAAAATACCCCTTTGAATTTGTCAGCTCTCCCTTTTAGACGGGTTTGCTCCCACTACTCTGGCCCAGAGCGGAGCAGTAGGAGGAGGAAGAGACCATCTCCTATTAGAATTTTCAGCACCACGGCGATGGACAGCACCCTAGGTCCCTGGCCCGCCGACCGCCAGCCAGTCCGCTCAGCGTCCCGGGCTCTGCCGGTGCAGCCGTCCCCATCCCAATGTCTCAAGTCGCTGTCCCCACGAAACCTAAGCCCAGTTTTCCCTCGATCTTCCTCTCTCTCCTACCATTTGCGCCCAATGCTTTCCTCAAGGCACCGCTCCTATTAGCTCTTCGCCCAAAACACAGCCTTGCCCCAGCGAGCAGCTCCCCACGCACCCCAGCCCAGGGCTCCGCTGCCCGCGCGCCTCCCTCCTCGGCGCCCGCCCGAGGCTCCCTCTCGCGCCGTCTCCCGCTTGTTCGTCGCCTGCCCGCTCCTTCTCCTCGGCAAAGTTGGGTAGGAAAGGTGCACTCACCTTTGTGCATGCCTGTGAACCTGTCCTTCAGGACCGTGAGCTCGTAGATCTTGCCGAACTCCTCGAAGAGGGGCTTGAGGTCCTTCTCATCCAGGTTGCGGGGGATCTGCCCAATGAACAGCTTGATGGCATCGTGGTCCTTCATGGGAATGGTCGACGGGTTCCCCGGGCTGTGGCTTAATCCGTTCATGTGCCCGGCGCTGCCCGGGCTGCTGCCGAGCCCGTTGGTACTGAGGCTCGCGTTGTCAGCCTGTCCGTTTGCTAACGTGGCCATCTTTATATACATAGAGAAAATCTTCTTTCCTTTTATTCTTTCTCGCTCGCACTCTCTCGCTCCTCTCCCTCGCTCGCTCGCTCGCGCTCACACACGCACACGCATACACACACTCGGGTTCTCTCCCCCTCGCTTTCTCCACACCTCGCTCTCCTCTCTCTCTTTCTCCTCTCTTCTCT